CTGTACTCACCATTAAGCTGAAGTCTGCTGCCCTTGTGTATTCTTGCTGGGCACAGCAACCTCAACTTCATTAGAAAAAGCCTCACAGAAGATCTGCCGAGGCCATTGGAAAATGAGGGATTTTTTTTTAATGTTTCTCTTGTTGTCCTTGTACCTGAGCAGTATCTTTCCAAGAAAGCAGTCCATACCACACGCGTGTTTCCTACTGAAGGAGATCCAGTCCTTCAGCTCTACTGTTCCACTGGCTCCCTACAGCCTGTGAAAACCACAGCATTTAGAGACAGTTTTCTCTTTGGTTTCTCAGTACTGCTCAGGTTGTGTCAGGCTGAGGGCCGGTGGCTCCCTAAGACATGGGGAGCCCCGAGTTGAGTGTGAGGACACTCCCTGGCAGGGCACCCAGGCCAGCACCCACACCACAGCACATGTCCGTTGCCTGCCTCCCATGGACACGTTGGAACCACTGAACAAAAATTCTGTTCACCAAGAGTAAATTGCAGGGGAAAGAAAGCCTAAAAAGATTGAAACTAACTACTGACTTTCATTCACACTTAAATATACATGCCATATAGTGTCATCACAGGGTGCCTCTCCATCATACCTTCTTTTTCTCTGATTTCTTTGTCCTCAATACCCCGCTGCCAAACACTTTGCACATCCAAATCAAAAGGCCCTCTTCTTGGCTCGTAACTGTTACCGTGACGGTATTCAGCCTTAAAATCTCTGTGAATCTCATAATCTGGTAGAGAGGAAACAGACCTCTTGCAGGCAAAGCTTTTCTTGAGGGAGTGGAGAAGAGCATCTGCACAAGTACTGACTGGATGGTGGGCAGGAGAAACAGGTACTTATTATGACCCTTCCATTTCCAAAGAACAACTCTTGACCCCCACAGGCGTGAAGTATGGCCACAGCTTTTGTTGCAACTCCTTCTCCTATTCTGGACTAAATCCTGAGCCCTTCATCCCTAACGAAACAGTGCCAATCACTGCTGTACCAAATGCCCCACTGGTGCCCTTAGTGTCAACTCTACCACTGACTCAAGCTTGTGCAGGACAAAGCCAATCCTCACACCAGAATTCCAGGTTCAAGACCTACACCACTACTGCTTCTCTCTAGTCTGCTGCTAAACTGCCCAGGTATTACCAGCTTCACCATCCTTTTCCTCCTTGCGGCTCCATAGCAAAATGAAGGCTCGGAAGAGGGTGACCCTGTCGCTGCCTCTCCTTCTGTTCTCTTTTGGTGAGTTTCTGTAGAGCTCAGACCCGAGAGTGGTTCTTTAGGAGGTAACCAGGGCTCTGATCTGCCCTGGACCACTTCCCCTGCTGTGACCAGAGGAGTCCAGCTAAGAGCAGGAAATCCCCGACAGAGGTGTGCCAGTCGCCCTTGCTTCAGAGGAACGGGTGTGGGGGCGAGGAAGGGTGACTTGCCTGTCCCAGGAGGGCTAAGCCAGTTCTCTTAAGCCAAGGGAGAGGCAGTGGCTAACCTCACCTGCCTCAGGGGGTTGAGAAGCTTCTGCAGGACAAGGAGCATGTTCCAAGGGAGGTAATGCCCATCTATTGTGGAGCCCATGCACCATCATGACCTCTTTCAAAGACTAAAAGAGGAGAGACAACTATGGCACCTGGCAGGGACATGGAAAGGGGAGTGGGCAGCCCGAGGCATAACCTAGCCTTATACCAAGTTCCAAATGTAAGGAGAGCTATGGTGTACGTCTGACAGGTGTTTACTACATGGGACAGCTTGGTGAAGAAAGCCTCCGGAGGACTGCAGCAGTAGGCCAGGCCTATGTCTCCTCCTACATTCAGCCGCTGCAACAGCAAGCGACATTTTGGTTTCCTGAAATCAGGGCTCGTTCTGCCACCATAACTCCAGGGCATAAAGTGCCACACACTAGAAGCCTGTGGCTAGGGCTAGGTGTGGCCAGTGCACTTGCCCTGATAAAAGACATGGGGCTTTAGGACCGCTGCATCCTTACAATATGGTCACGTACACCCCTTGGGGACTGCTGACCATCATGTACACACCTTGGTTCGGTGACTATGGGCACATATACACCCTAATCGAGGGATAAGGAAGTTATGGCCTTCAGCCAGTAAGAGCTGACAGAACCATACATGACCACAGATCAGATTTGACTAGGGTATAAATGGAGCCCCACCACAGGGCAAATTGGGTTAGTCCTCCTCAGAGCAGCAGGTCTGCAGTTGCGGAGTCTCCCCTTGGGTCAAGACACTGTCCAAGGAAACTCCTCGAGGTTGAGAGCCCTTATCTTATAGGTGAGTGATTGCACACATTTTGGATCCTCATTTCTAAAGTTTAAGAATTCCTGAGTCGGTTGTGCAGTATTAATTCCCCATACATCCTGAACCCGTGGTTTACTATTATTGAAGTGTTGAACAATTTTGATAAACCTCATTTTTAGTTGGTTCTCTGCTAAACAATTTTGGTTAGAATAAGGTTTATTTTTAATTTATCACCTGTGTAACTTGATTTTGTAAGCTTCCACAACACTAGGTACAATAGCCACCCTGGCAGGTGATTCAGGTGAAGGTCAACTGGACTGAACACCAGTGTCTCCACAGTCTTTGGCATTGCATGCATCTGACAGAACAATGATTAAGTAGAAATCAGCTTGACTGTCCAGACTCCAAGTGCATACAAGCGGCCATATCCCGTTGTGTGCACTACTACTGACCTGCTCGTTAAAGACTAGAAATACTGGGCTTTCTGAGGATTCTGTTGTTGCTGGCAGTGAATAGTGACAGGGAGGCAATTCTGTTTCAGTGACTTTCTAGAGAAGGCAGACCACCACTGGGTCTTCTGACTATGGAAGCAGGTGCCTCAAAGCAGGTGAGAAGAATCTGCCAATGTATTTGCTGAAGCTTCTGGTAGCTGCTCCTTCCTTTACTGTTCTTATGGCCCAATGAGGTAGAGCAGGATAAGGACATCTTGACCACAACAGGTTAAAAGACCTCACAGGACAGCTGGAAGCAAGCTGTTGAATGAGTCCGTCACTGCAGCACTACTCTGTCAGTGGTCACATGCTAGAAAGCAAAAGGCCACTCATTTCTTTACATTTCAGAAGGAGCTCTCCAGATCAGTGAATTACATCAGGGTGCAACTGCTGAGCCACCGTGGACCCTGAGCTACAACACCTGCCTGTATCAACTCAGGGTCCACTGTGATGAGTTAGGAACTAAGTGCTGAGCAAATCCCTGGCCCTGGAAGAACAACTACATAAGCTCCAGGAAGAGCTTTATCACCTGCAGTAGAGCACAATGTATGTCATCAGGTGTGCTTTCCAGCTGATGACAATGATTAGGCAGATTTGGGCCTGCATCGGTTTCAGCAAAGCACTGGCTTTGCATGTGATAACTTGAGCCCTTTGATTTTGATCGGTGTTAAGAGGTCTGCTGCCCCAGCCTTCAACGTGCCAACCACTTCAAAAAATAATTTGTGGGCATATAATTCAGCAAGCAGCTTCATGGCAATGGAACTTCCCAGGGTGGTGTCAAGAAAGGACCTATAATCAAACCACACTTATAAGCGTAGCAGGAACCTGCCTGCTAGTAGTCCAGCTGCCTAGGATGACAAGAAACTAGAAAGAATACATAAAAGAGGTTGCATGCACCTCAGGAATGGCCCTATTTTGCAACCTCTTGAGATCACCCAGAGAAGAGGGCCACTTTCCTGACAGCCAGCGTGGCCGGCCCCAAGCATGGCTGGGACCCCGAGGGGGTCCCAGTTCCCCCCATAGCCTCTGCGACCGACTGGTGGGAAACGCATCGCTTGTCCAGCCTAGCGCAGGGAGAGGGGGAGGTATCGCACCACAGGTGGTGGACGGCGAGGGAAGGGAGGAGGACTCAGCCCCCCACCCGCAGGGCAAGCCGGGGCAGAAGAAGATGGCCGCGGATCGCCTGGCTGGGGGGGGGAGCGGGGCGGGCCTTGGGCGTTGTTGCCGTGGGGACGGACGGCGCTTGTCGGCAGCCG